CTCCAGGGACGTGTCCCTCCTTGAAGCTTCAGAATCCCTGTCTCAAAGGAGCAGCCTGGTTACCCTCTCTAGGATGAACCTGTTTGTTCTCTTAGTAGTCCATGGTATAGTCAATAATCTTTCCCAGCATCACAGCTCAAAGGCATCAATTTTCCTTCTATCATCCCTAGTCATTGTCCAGCTTTCTGATGCATAGTAAGTAATTGCAAAGACTATGACCTGCATCAGGTGCTCCTTAGTTTCCAGACTGACATCATTGATCTTTAGTACTTTGGAAAGGTCTCTGACAGCAGACTTTCCCCAATGCAATTCATCTCTTGATTTCCTGACTGCTGGTACCAAGAGTGTTGACTGTGGAGCCAAGTAAACTAAAACTGTTAACTATCTCAATCTCTTCACCCTCCATACTAATGCTGCCAATTGGCCCAGTGGTGAGAATCTTCGTTTTCTTGATGTTGAGCTTCAATCCATATAGGAGGCTGCAGTCTTTGACCTTCTGCAGCAAGTGCTTCAGGTCCTCCTCAGTTTCAGCAAGCAGAGTTGTGTCATCTGCATAACACCGACTGTTGATGAGTCTTTCTCCAATGCCACATTTCTCCTCATAAAGCCTAGCCTTCCAGATGATCTGTTCTGCATATAGGATTGAAAAGGTATGGGATAGGGCATATCCCTGGCTCACACCTTTCCCAATTTTGAACAATGCTTCCTTGCTCTGTTCTGACAACTGCCCCCTGGTCCAAGTATAGGTTTTGCATAAGCACAATCAAGTGTTCTGGGACTCCCATTCTTCTCAGAGTCAGAGTTTGATAGTCTCTAAAAATCCACTGGAGGTAGCCAGGTAGCCATAATAGTGACTGGAGGATGTAGCTTAAAATCATATGGTTGTGGGTTCATATACTGTCTGTACTATTTGCAGGTACCTTGAGCAAAAAGGAATTTCACTGGGTGGAACTTCGGTTTCTCCACTTGTGAAAGGAACAGAAGACTCAAGTATTGAGGGTGTGAGGAGGGCCTGAGAGACCCAGGTCTGCAAGAATCCATTCCCATGAAATAGCTTCATGGCATCCTTAACTTGGGGATCCCTTCATGCCTCCAGTACCCTGGACACCAACGTGGCCTAAACTAGGCTTTGTAGCTGTGAGGTTATCAGGTGGAACAGAGGGAGAGGAAAAAGAACTGGGGAGGGAGAGGAACCTCCTTCTGCTGGGATTGCCTGTTAATATTGTTTCGGTTCTTCTTATCTATAAAATGGAAAAAAAAAGAAATGTGCCTGCCAAAGCCAGCCTGAGCAAGTTCTGGTGGCCCACTGGGTAAGGAGTCACACTATCAACCTGAAGATACACGTTTCGAACCCACCAGCTACTCCTTGGGAGAAAGATGGGCATTTTCCTCCGTGTGATTCACCATTTCTGAAAACCTGCTGGTGAGTCAGCTATGGGCCAGTCTGACTTGAACAGCAACAACAACAACAAAAATGCCAGCCAGAGGAACCCAGGGTGCTCAAGTGGTCAAGTGTTCCACTTGCTCCTAACTGAACAGCAAACCGTCCGAATGCTGTGCAGGGGAAAGCTGTGGCAGTGCGCCTCCATTCTGATTGCTGCTGTGTATGACTAGGCTCATACTGACCCCACATTACAGAGTAGAACTGGGGTTTGGTATAGTTGTTGTTCTTATGTGCTGTGGAGCTGCTTGTGACTCATAGCAACCCTATGTACATCAGCCCTGAAATCTGCTCTACCCTGTGCCAACTTTACTGTCTCTGACACACCTGCCCTCATTACCCCAGTCACTGAATCAACCCATGTCATTGATGGTCTTCCTCTCTTTCTCTGTCCCTCTACCCTTCCAAGCATGATGTCCCTCTCTAAGGACTGGTTCATCCTTGCAGCGTGTCCAAAGTATGTCAGATCAAGCCTCAGAATCCTTGCCTTCAAGGAGCAGCCTGATTTTACCCTCTCTAGGATGAACCTACCCTGTTTGCTGAAATTGAGGAGGACCTGAAGCACTTGCTGCAGAAGGTCAAGGACTGCAGCCTCCTATATGGGTTGAAGCTCAACATCAAGAAAACAAAGATTCTCACCACAGGGCCAATTGGCAGCATCAGTATGGATGGTGAAGAGATTGAGATAGTTTTAATTTGTTTGGCTCCACAGTCAACACTCTTGGTACCAGCAGCCAGGAAATCAAGAGACGAATTGCACTGGGAAAGTCAACTGTCAGGTACCTCTCCAGAGTACTGAAGAGCAACAACGTCAGGCTGGAGACTAAGGTGCACCTGATCTGGGCTATAGTCTTCGCAATTGCGTGCTATGCATCGGAGAGCTGGACAGTGACTAGGGATGATAGAAAGAGAATTGATGCCTTTGAGCTGTGGTGCTGGAGAAGAGTGTTGAATATACCATCGACTGCTAGGAGAACAAACAGGTTTGTCCGGAGAAGGTGAAGTTGGAATGCTCCTTGGAGTCAAGGATTCTGAAGCTTCGTCTGACATACTTTGGGCATGTTGCAAGGAGGCACTGGTCCTTGGAGAGGGACATCATGTTTGGCAGAGTGAAGGGGCGGCAAAGGAGAGGAAGCCCCTTGATGAGATGGATCAATTCAGTGAGTGGAGTGGTGGGAATGAGTGTGCTTGAGACAGCGAGGTTGGCACAGGATAGAATGGCTTTTAGAGCTCTTGTACATAGGGCTGTATGAGTCACAAGTGACTCGATGGCACATAACAACAACAACAGGGATGAACCTGTTTGTTCTTTTGGCAATCCATGGTATATTCAAAACTCTTTTCCAGCACCACAGCTCAAAGACATCAATTCTCTTTCTATCATTTATAGTCATTGTCCAGCTCTTTGACGCATGGCAAGCAATTGCGAAGATTATGGCCTGGATTAGGTGCACCTTTGTCTCCCAACTAACATCTTTACTCTTCAGTACTCTGAAGAAATTCCTGACAGCCGACTTTCCCAATACAATTCGTCTTTTGATTTCCTGGCTGCTGGTACCAAGAGTGTTGACCGTGGAGCCAAGCAAACAAAAACTGTTAATAATTTTAATCTCTTCACCATCTATGCTGCCAATTGGCCCAGTGGTGAGAATCTTTGTTTTCTTGATGTTGAGTTTCAATCCATATTGAAGGCTGCAGGTAGGAATGTAAAATGTATTGTAGGTCTGCAAAAGTTAAGGGTTTACCATAAGATTCATCAATTCTGCTGTGTATTCCAGGGTCATGACAGGAATTTACTTGATAACCATAGGTTTTAATACCACCCGCCCAAGATTACTGGCGAGAAAGCAGCTACATGTGCTTCAGAGCTGGGTAAATTCTGAGGGCCTTGCAGGGAATAAGAAGATAATCTCAGTGCGGGGGAGTGTGATGAGACCATAGGGCTAGTTAGGGGCGATTACCACCCTCTGGCGCTATCTTATTTCATCCTCCCGACAATATGAAAGAAGTGTGATTAACATGCCCCTTTTACAGATGAGGGAATCGAGGCCCAGAGAGGCAGGGCTGTTCAGAAAACTAGTATACACACCCAGATATTTCAACCTGTGAGAACTTCTTCCCACTCCAGCCTTCCTTCATGCTTACTTTGTTGCCTTCCTTTCTTTCTTTCTTTCTTTTTTTTTTCTTTCTTTCTCTCTTTCTCTTTCTCTCTTTCTCTCTTTCTCTCCTTCTCCTTCTCCTTCTCCTTCTCCTTCTCCTTCTCCTTCTCCTTCTCTTCCTTCTCCTTCTTCTTCTCTTCCTCCTCCTCCCTCCCTCCCTCCCTGCTTCCTTCCTTCCTTCCTCCATTCCTTCGGTGGGGCCACCTGCATAATAACTTGGTTGTGGTGTCGTTCACTCTCCATACAATCCATCCATGCAAAGTGTACAGTTCAATGATATTTTAGAGTAGCTTTGCTCAGAACTGTGCAATGATCACTACAGTCAAGTTTAAAATAGTTTCATTACCTCCAAAGGAAAACCCCTGCCCTTTAGCGAGGGAGTTCTCATGGCTTCTTGTTGTGTACCTTCGAGGCAGAACTGATCCTTCTATGAGTTTTCGCCTGGGAGGAGACTGCCCATCTTTCTCCCCTGCTCCATGGGAAAAAAGTTGGGCAATCTCCTCCTGTGTAATTTACTGCCTCTGAAAACTAACTGGAGGGTCAGCTGCCTGTCAGTTCCATCACCATGGTAGGTACAGAACAACAAGAAAACAATAACCCTCTAACTATTCACAGCCTAGTATGCCCCAGACCATGCCTGCCTTTTTGCCCCAGTTCCTGGCAATGACTAATCTTCTTTCTCTCCCTGTAGGTGTCTATTTGGGACCTTTCATGTGAACGAAATTAGACATCATGTCTATTACAATTGGCTTTTTTTTCCATTCTAGGGAGTCCTGGTGGGTTAGGACTTGTGCTGTTAACCCAAAGGCTAGACCTCTCTGGGGTTTGAGTACACCAGCAGTTTCTCAGGAGAAAGATGGCCAGTCACCTCCAGTGCTACTTAAAACCTCGGAAAACCCACTGGAGAGTCAGCTATGAGTTGGCTCTGTCTGCATAGCAATGAGCTAGCTGAATTCTTTGCCTCACAAGATATTTTCAGGGTCAATTTGTATTGTAGAGTGGATCGGTATTACTTGATTCCTTTTTATTGCTGAAGAATATCATATGGATATGCCACATTTTGTTCCTCCACTTGACAATTCGTGGAAATTGAGATTACTTCTCCTCTGTTGCTGTTATGTGCCCTCGAGTCGTCTGTGACTCATAGCGACCCTATGATATCAGCTCTGAAGCCTACCCTGTCCCGAGTCAGTCTCACTGATTCCAACACACCAACTCCCATTGCTCCAGTTACTGTATCAATTAATCTCCTCTGAGGTCTTCTTCTACTGCACTGTTTGTCCACCCTTCTGAGCATGATGTCCTTCTCCAAGGACAAGTTTCCTCTGGCCATGTGCCCAAAGTATGTGAGACGGAGCTTCAAAATCCTAGCCTTCGGATTAGAGACCGCAGCCGGCACCATGAGCCTCCTCAACAAGCCCAAGAGTGAGATGACCCCAGAGGAGCTGCAGAAGCGAGAGGAGGAGGAGTTTAACACAGGCCCACTCTCGGTGCTCACGCAGTCGGTCACGAACAACACACAAGTGTTCATCAACTCTCGTAACAACAAGAAGCTCCTGGGCCGCGTGAAGGCCTTCAATAGGCACTGCAACATGATGCTGGAGAACGTGAAGGAGATGTGGACTGAGGTCCCCAAGTGGCAAGGGCAAGAAGAAGTCCAAACCCATCAACAAGGACCGCTACGTCTCTAAGATGTTCCTGCGTGGGGGCTCGGTCATCATGGTCCTCAGGAACCCCCTCATCGCCAGCAAGTAGGGTCACCCCTGTCTCTACAGCCCTGTCCCACAGCCGCCTCCTGCCATCCCTGGAAGACCTGTTCCGTACTGGGAATAATAAAGTCCCTGTGTGGTTTTTTTCTACTAAAATAAAATAAAATCCTAGCCTTCAAGGAGAAACATGGTTTCTCCCTCTCCAAGACAGACCTATTTTTTTTCTTGGCAGTCCATGGTATGTTCAAGATTCTTCTCTGGCCCCACAACTCAAAGACATCGATTCTTCTTCTGTCATCCTTAGTTGTCCAGCTCTCTGATGCATAACAAGTAATTGTGATGACCATGGCCTGGATTAGGTGCACCTTAGTCTCTAGATTGACATTGTTGCTTTTCAGCACTCTAGAGAGGTTCCTGACAGCAGAATTTCCCACTGAAATTCATCTTTTTTAGGGAATGGCAAAGGACACAAAGGAGATTAATCAGAACTGGCTTTGACAAGCACTGTGGCAATTGGACAATTAGAACAGACTTTCAAGGGGGAAAAAAAAAGAAGAACGAACTGGGGAGGAGGGTAGAGAAAATAGTGCAACACTGAATGAATGAAAACCCAAAAATCTCTGTAAATGTTCATTAAACGTAATAAAATTTAATAATAATTAAAAAATCAAGGGGAAAAAAAAAGAAATTTATCTTTTGATTTCCTGATTGCTGGTGCCAAGAGTGTTGATTGTGGAGCTGAGCAAGCTGTAGCTGTTAACAACTTCAGTCTTCTCTCCATCCATCATGGTGCTGCCATTTGGACAAGTGGTGAGAATCATGAAAAAAGCTGTAATGGAAATTGGGGTGCAAGTTCTTGTGTGGCCATAACTTCATTCTCGTTGGGACTGTTTTTTGGAATGAAACTTCTGGATTTCTAAAAAAAATATATTGGTTTGCTTGTGAAGTTTGTATTTATTGTGTTTCACACTATTCACAGTCATTTCATTCACATTGTGTTTCATACAATCATTCCCATGCATTATGTTTTATAAACTTAATCACCATTGGAACTTGCCCGTCATTGCCCTGTCTTTTCAGGTCCCTGCAGGATCCTTCCATTTTCTTTACCTCTTCCCTCCACCCACTAAATTGTTCAACTCTGTGATTTCACCCCTACCTCTCTGTTTCCACCCTTTTCCCTGCCCCTGGATCTCTATACATGTTTTACTAGTTATCCTTTATTTTTACAGTAATGGTCTTATGCAGTCCTTATGAGATTGAGTTACTTCACTCAGCATAATGCTCACTAGTTTCTCCCAAGTTATGTAGTATAATTCTAAATCATTGCTCCCTAGTGCTGCATAATATTCCATTGTGTGAATGTACCACAATTTCTCAATCCATTTGAAACTTCTGGAGTTGATGGCAAATTCTTTAGTCTTTAAGGAGCTTCCAGATTGTAGTATTTAACAGTCCCACAAGCAATTTATGAGGGTTCCAGTTTCTTCCCTTGCTCAGAATACTTGTGACATGTTCTCTTTTGTTGCACTATAGATTCTGTTGGATCTGTCCTTAAATCTTACCAGTTGTGAGATCTCAGGCACATTGTCTAATATCTCTGAGCCTTCAAATTCTTGTCTGTAAAAGGGCATGAAAACTCCTGCTCCCCACTCCCACAGGAATTGTTCCGATACAAACTGGTATGTTTTAACAGACGGATGCAGCCCTAGATGTGCTATCCCAAGAAATTTGGAAGACAGCTTCCTGGCCAACTGACTGTAAAAGATCTATATTTGATCTCATTCTCAAGAATAATTTCCACCTTCTTTGATCATCCAAGCAAAGGTCGAAATTATTGAACAACATTGTTAATCTCACATGCAAGTAAAATCTTCCTGATGATAAAATGGTGGGAATTTTGACAGGAAACTGTCAGAAATTAAAGCTGGATTCAGAAGAGGTTGTGGCATTAGGGATTTTATTGCTGATGTCAGCTGGATCTTAGATGAAAACAGAGAATAACTGAAAGATGTTTATCTGTGTTTTATTGATTATGCAAAACTATTTGTGTGGAACATAACAAATTATGGATAACATTGATAAAAATGAGAACAAGAACAACTGTTGTCCAAACGGAACAGGGGAATAACGAATAATTTAAAATCAGGAAAGATGTTTGTCCAGGTTATATCCATTTTCTCTATCAAGTGTCTCTTGTCCTTCTAGGACAGAGGCCTGAGAGTCTCATGGCAGCAGAACAATGGCCTTCCACCCTCCCAGTGGCTGTCATTCTTGTGCTGTAAACACAGCAAGTGTGGTTTTTAAAAAATTTTTTATTTTGTGTGTGTACCATCAAATTGGATCTGACTGGTACAGGAGGAGATTGCCCCTCCTTCTCCAGCAGAGCATCTGGTAGATTTGAACCGAATACCTTGGTGATTGCAGTGTAGCTTCTTGCCACTAGGCCACCAGAGCTCCCTTCACAGCAGGTGTTTGATGATGGCCCATGTCCAACCTCTCACTCTTTCGACCCAATTCTCTCCCTTGAGAGGTGAGTCTTCCTGCCTCTCACCAGCTGGTATTATAAAAACATCTAATAAGTGAACTAACTCATTCCCATAAGGACAAATACCGTATAAGACCATTATTTTAGAAATAAGTAACTAGTAAAATGTGTATGAGGATCTGACGGGGGGGGGCAGAAGGGTGAGGATGGTTGGGGGGTTAATCATAGAGTCACACAATTTGATGGGTGGAGGAAGGGGTGGGTAAGGAAATGAAAAAGTTCTGGTGTGGAAAAACAATATATATGAACTTTGTAAGTAAACCAGTATAAAAACACAAATTTTATTTTTAAAAAATGTACCAAAAATAGGGCAGCAATGAATGAATGGAAATCCAAAATCTCTGTAAATTCTCATTAAAATTATTTTTAAAAAATAAAGCTTAAGAAGAAAAAAAATGTACCAAAAATAGGGCAGCAATGAATGAATGGAAATCCAAAATCTCTGTAAATTCTCATTAAAATTATTTTTAAAAAATAAAGCTTAAGAAGAAAAAAAATGTACCAAAAATAAAAATAAAAGAAAAATTTAAGAAGAACCTAATAAAGCCATTTCTTAGTTCATCATGCTTGGAAAGATGGAGGGTCAGAGAAAGAAAGGAAGACTGTCAGCAAGATGGACTGACACTGTGACAACAACAATGGGCTCAAATAGATCAGAGACCATGAAGATGGCGCAGGATAGGACAGGATGCATACAGATCTAATATTCATAGGGGTCACTGTGGGTCCTAGTGGAGTCAATGACAGCGAACAACGGTAAGGGCTAAGAGCCCTGGTGGCGCAACGGTTCGATGGCTGAATGATGATGGAAAAGATCTCCTATTTGAACCCACCAGCCCCTCTGCAAGAAAAAGAAGGGGTGTCTTGGAAACCTGCTGTGTTCACTCTGTTCTGCCCTGTAGGGTCGCTATGAGTCAGAATCAACTCAGTGTCAGTGGGTACTCAGGACCAGGGAAGGACCCTGGCAACAGTTTGTGCTTAGCAAGGCCGGACAATCTTCTTCTACAAAGGTTTTTATTATTAGTTGCTTTTGGTTGATTCCAAGTTATGGTGACCTTGTGCGTGCAGTGTTCAGGGTCTGATGACCAGGTTCCTAGGAGATGGTTTTAAACTGTCATTCTTTTTTGTAGAAAACATCATCTTTATTTTAGAAATTTTGCTACTACCCAATTGACTTATAATCAATTGCTATATATATGTTGTTGTAGTTAGGTGCTGTCAAGTTCAGTAGGACTCATAGTGACCCTATGAATATAAGATTTTAACCCTGTTCTATCGTGTGCCATCCTCACACTTCCTGACACACAAGAGCCCATTGCAGGAGTCACCGTGTTAATTCACCTGGTTGAAGGTCTTCCTCTCCTTTGCTGACCCTCCACACTTCCCAGCATCATCCCCTCCAAGAAATAGCCCCTCCTAGTAATATGGCCAAAGTATGTGAGGCAAAGCCTCATCCAAAGAGCACTCTGGTTGCACCCTCTACAAGAAGGATCTGTTTATTCTGTTGGCCATCCATGGGATGTTCTCTTGGCCGTCCATGGGATGCTCAGTGCTATTCTCCAACACCACAGCTCAAAGGCATCAATTCTTTTTCTGTCATCCTTAGTCGTTGTTCAGCTCTCAGGTGGATAAGAATTGGAAAGACTATGGCCTGAATCAGATGCACCTTAGTCCTCAAATTGACATAACTACTCACCGATAATTTGGAGTTATAATAATAATAGGTCATGTATAGATAGTAAAGATTATCATTAGGTAATCTTTTCTCAACATGAAAGATACACACATTTAAAGACCTTAACTGAAACTTTCAATCCTTTTCAAAAGGCCAAGTGAAGTTCCTCATCACTCCTTAACCAAAACCCTTTTGAGGTGACATATCAGTAAATAAAGGACACAGGCAATGAGCTTCTCAAAAGTGAACTATTGTTCTTTAATAACCCAGCACTCAGTCATTCACATTACCCAGGAAACCCCATAAATTTTGTTGCTATTGTTAGGTGCCATCTAGTTGAATCTGTCTCGTAGCAACCTTATGAACAGTGGATCTGAATCCTGTCCTGTCTTAACCTGTGCCATCGTCATCATCTCTGACAAATTGAGCCCATTGCTGCAGTGATTGTGTCAGTCCATCTTGTTGAGGGGTTTGCTCTCTTTTGCTGACCTTCCCAAGCATGGCTTTCCAAGAAATAGCCTCTCCTAGCAACATGCTCAAAATGTATGAGATGAAGCTTCAGCGTCCTTTGCCTCCATGGAGGACTCTGGTGGCACTTTGTCCAAGACCAAACTGCTTAGTTTTTTGGCAGTCCTTGGGATTTTCAATACTCTTCTCCAACACCATAACTTAAAGACATCAGTCCCGTCATTCTTATTCATTTTCTAGCTCTCAGATTCATAATAAGTGATTGAAAAGACCATGGCCTGAGTTGGACACAGCTTTGTCTTCAAATGGACATAATTGCTCCTCAGTAATTTGGAGAGGTCCCTGGCAGCTTGTT